GGCCCCTTAGTATGTTGGTAGGGGCCCCTTAGTTAGAATTTGCTTACAGGCCTAAAAAATGTAGTTACGCCACTGCTCCTACTATCATTCCTACCATCACTACCACCACTTTTGAGGCAGGATTTACTTAATCAACAGACTTAAAAATAAAATACACGCTTATCTCGTACATTATTGAACGAATTTTGTATAGCAAATTTAACTAAACCCTACTCACTTATGTAGATAAACCTGAAAATAAGTTAATTATAATAGTTCAAACGAAGTTATAACTTTTCCTGTAGCAGTGTTCACTTTTGTCATTTTATAGATTTTTACACACAAAATATTAAACATAAATTTGATACTTTAGTATGTTAAAAGCAATTGTGAAGAGGTCTGATCTTTTGAGTCGTTATTATATTCAAAACCTAACTAAAAATTTAAAAGCACGCAACTTTGAAACGCCCAGCTTAATAAGAAATTTCGAATTGTTGTCTCTCTGATGTACTTGCCCTATTAAAGATTGAGGGACTTTCCGGGGAGAAAATAATTTGAAAAATTTATGAGTTTCGAAATTGCGTTATTGGCGACAAATGCTATAAATATGTTATTAGGCATTTACCAGTAACATTGAAATAAATACTTGCAACTTCACTTATTAAGTACTTGTTAATTGCTAAAGGCATTAGTGTAAACGCACTGTTACTGCTGATTATTACAGTTGATAGAATAAAATAAGTAATTTTATTAAATATTTCATATTCTGTATCAATCACCGAGTATGGTAAAGCACAGACGCTTTGGACATACTTAATATCAGGGTAGCTATGTCAACCGGAATTGTTGCTACAAGTGTACTAATCCATTATTTATATATATATAACGTCTATAACAACGGACTAATATATATACGTCTATAACAATGGACTAAAGATAATGTATATAAGAAATAAAACAATATTATCATAAAAATGTCAAATTTTATTGTTGTAAGCTTTTATTTATATTGAGAAAAATATGTTTGCTTAAGATTTTTACATGCTATGGCAGTTATCTATAATTTTTTCTTTGCTTTATAAAATTTGAATGAAATTGTTAGTAGCCAGAATGTTCTAGGTATGTTTGCAATTTGATTGTAGTTTTTAATTTTATGTATGTAATATATTAATATTTATTTAGTGAATTTTAGTGAAAAAAGGTGGGGTGATTGTTTGGTTTTTTGGTGTTCATGTGATGTATTCGAAAGTATAACCTTAAAAATGACAAAACCCAAAAATTTCGGACTTGA